GACATAAAAGAGGATGTTAGGTAGATAAAATATAATTTTTCATCTTTATCTACAATAAATGTCAAAGAACTCAAAGTTTCTATTTCAAGAAATTATATTGTATTACATTAAAATCCAAAAATCATAGAAACAGCAACCCTTTGATCAGAATGTTTTCTAAGAGAAAACAAATTCATGAATCTATAAAAAATGAGATTTGCTTATTTTACTCTCAATTTTTAAATGAACATAAAATCTTTTAAGTAATTTATTAAAGTAAGAATCATGATTAATATGAATCCACATGGACCTTTTTAAGAAAGGAAATGGCGGGCGGTTGCTGAGGTGAGGTGTGCCAATGTCGGAGTTGAGGAAGGGAGGGAAAATTGAACAAAGTGAAGGGAATTGGTACAGAATAAATCTAGGAACGAAGTATCTCGACTGTAAGGAAGGGGAAAATTGTTCAACTAAAGACTGTTTGCAAGCGGGAAGCAACCAATGCCTCTCGTGTGGCTTGTTGCTGTACACTGCAACTGTAACTCCACTTATTATTAGTATTATATGAATTATGTTATTTTGATTTTTATTAAATTTATAATATATATTTTAAAAATTATTATATAAAATCTTATTTCAATCTTAATTATATTTTATAAAACATCTCAATTATTCTCTCTAAATCTATATTGTAGTTTTAGATAGCAAAATTAATTAATAAATAAAACAAAATATCATATAATGAATATAAAAACATCTAACATTATAAAGCAAAATCTCAAAACAAACAAAACCAATTACTGTCTCTGTCTGGTCTTCAAAGGATCCCAAAGCCTAGTTTTTAATTTAATTAGTATTTATAGAGTTTGAGAATTATAGAGAGTTTCATAAACCTAAAAAAGAAACATAGGCCCTAAACATTCAAAACTTTAAAACTAAAAGTGCTTAGAGTGTTGATACCGCATCAGCGTCGACGTTTCTGTTTATTTCAGAGGCACCCATTGTCCAAGGGCTTAACACATGTTGTCGACACCAAACAGACCTCGATTTTTGGATTTTTTTTTGCAATTTCTTCAATGGTTAAAGAACAGGTCTGGTCCTCTAGCTTATATACCATGAGCACTTTAATCCAATAACCTCGAATTCATTCCTTTAGGTCCGTGAAACTTCTAGCAACCTTTTTTTGCAATTCAGTCTCTCAACTTTTCAAAGATATTCAATTAAGTCCAAAACTTTTATTATTATTCATTCAAATCTTTTTTTACAAAAAATAAAAATTATGTAAAATACAGTAAAAATTACACCTTATTCATTCAAGTAGCAACACAATCAAAGTTAAAATAATAGATTAAAGCATATAAAATGTTTTTCATCAAACAATTGAATAGACAAATTTTTTTTTTTTATGAAAAATTAACTTTTCAATTTATTAATTCTAATATAATCTTTTATATTAAATTAAATATTTAACTTGGTAATTTTCTATTTAGAATATCCATATAATATTTTAAATTTATCATATGTTTGAGTTTAGTCTTGTTTTCAACTTTTTAGTTCAGTAATTATAAGAAAAATAAAAAATTTGTCTCAATAGAAAAATATTTCATACAATTCTTTTTAATAAAATTATTTCATCCATTCTCTTCTCTTTCCCTTTTCTCCTTTTCTCCTTTCCTCCTTTTTTTTTTTTTTTTTCCTCAAGCAAATTGCCATGGACCTAAATGACGACTCTGAGGCTACAGCGGTGAACGAATCCATCAGGCTAGGTGATTCCAAATAAAGTAATTTCTCAAACAGAGTAATTTCATGAAGATTTAAAGACGAATCGAAGGCTAAGCGGTGAACTTTATATTATGCTTTACAAATTGATTTTATTGCAGTTTATCGATAAAATGAATTTAGTGACATAAAAAGGTAATAAAATTTTTTTTCCTTTTTTACCTATAACATTATATGTAATATATCTGTTTACACCATAAATCACAAAATTTTAAATTAATGCCATGTGTAAAATATTTTCTTTGGTTGGATGAGATTAAACCATGTCAGATTTGAATTTTGTGTTACATGACAGATCAACACTTGTTTTGGCAAAAAAGTAGAGATAAAGATAATTTTTTATAGAGTAATTATCTTCTTGAGGTAGGAAGGGATTATGGGAGCTGAATTTTAGGAGAAGATTGTGTTGGAGATTTTAATTAAAAAAAAAATTGCATTTGTGCAGTTACAAACCCATGCTTTCTTGGATTTGTGTGTTTCCTTCTTAAAGAATAAAATTAAATTCAAATGTTGTAACCGGCTAGCAAATGGCTCACCAATTTCAAATTTTGTTTTATTCACCAACTTCAATTCTTTGTAACTGACATATGCCATTTTAAATTCCATTTTAAATTCCAACCGTTTCTTATTTTTTTTACTCCGGTTACATTGTAAAAGCCTATAAATAGGCAGCCTCCTTTTCTACCAAGAGGTTGATACAATTTCATGATCTGCACTCTTATTTCACAAACACAATATACAAACTCTCTTTAGGCAAGGAAAAGGTGGTGAGGTAGAGCTTTCTTTACAAGAGTGTAGTACTTGTAAAGATACAACAAGGAGGTTGGGCTGTTGTATCCTGGGGGCGGCGTGACCATAAAAATTTGCTGCACCAGTGGCATGAAACGTCCTAAAGAGAGTGATTGATCCACGCCTCAGCTCAAACTCCTCATACTTTCGGTGACATCTTTCTACTTTTCATCTTCATCTTTAATTAATTGTTTTTTGCTATTCTTCTATCTATTTTTTATTTATTTATTTTTACAAGGAACAACAGATTGTAGTTAAAAAGGGGTTTTTATCTGATAAGAGTATAGATGGCGAAATCTGCAAGGAGATAAGACCAAGTCAAAGGGTGAGTTGTCCTACTACCTCAAAAAACCACCCATGATTGTAACCGCAGAAAGTGGGAGGTTACTGCTGGTCAAAGGAGAACAAAAAGGGAATTGTGAAAGGGAGAACACACGGCCAGCTCTACTCAAACATATGCAAATTTTCATACTTTCATTTTCTCTGCATATGCTTCCAGATTTCGGATTTCAGCACAGATTCCAGTAGATCCAGGTTGTTTTTCATCATTCCAGTAGACAATTTAATTTATGTACTTGCTTAAGCAATTTCCTTTCATGCAATTAACTTCAGTATTTCAGTATCTTCAAGGTACTGTTCATTTTCTATCTACAATTAATTTAATGTTTATGATAAGTAGCATTTCAACAATGATTACTTATGTGGTGTTCACGCTTCTTTCCAACTTAAAGCATGTTAGTTTAATCACTGTTCACGTTAATTTTAATGTTAATTAGGGTTAAATTTTCAATTCTGCAGCAATTTAATTTTCAGATCTGTCATTAGTTAGCATTTTAATTTCTTAAATATGTATAATTTAATTTGGATGCATTTTATTCTTACAAATTTATTTTAAATTGCATGCTGTTAATTGGTTTAATTAGGATTTAATAATTTTAAGTCACGGTAGTGTTTAAGTCCTTGGAGTTGTCCAAGGCAAATTTCGTAACCCAATTTGCAGGAAGGTATCCGTCCCTCTTGCAAACCGTCTGGAGGTGCAATTTCAATTTTAATCCAACGTTCTTCCCACCATCCACAAGGAGGTCGACCGTGAGAAAGGAAAGGGGTCATTGGAAAAGTCCTGCTTTCTTACTTTCAGCAAAGAAGTGGCACGCTTGTATCCAGATTTTACATGTGCGAGGCCACTAGAGGATTTTTGAGGAAACAATATCATCTAAGAAAAAAAAAACTTATGTTTTACAATCTGAAGTGTGTATCTAAAGTGTAATTTCACTTTTAAATATATTAAAAAGCTTTTAATAAAACAATATAAAAAATAGTTTTATTAAAAATATTTTAATACATTCATAGGTTTGTAAAACACTTTTTCAAAAAGAAAAACTTACCAAAAAATAACAATTATGTTTTGAGAGTTCAAAATTAAAATTATATTAGGAACTAAACGAGTGAGACATATTATGTTATGCTTGGTTAGGTTGATTTTATTCTTTTTAGTTTTTTTTTTTCTAAACAACTGGTTAATGTGTGTGGAAATATCAACTTATAAATTGATTTTAAATTTTTAAGTAATAAATATAAACTTCTTTGTCTCCTAACAACTATAGCTACACTTAACAGCCATGGTTGTTTTTAATAGACGAACCAAATAGAACTATGTATTTAAGTTGGCT